TACTGGTGACTGATATTGGTGTTACCATCCAACAAAGTGGAATGTTAAAACATCATTTCTCCACTGTTACCACTCAGCCTTTAAAATATGCATTGCATTCTATGGGGTTTCTTAGTTCAACAAAGGTACTATTATTCAAACCATAATATCATTGGACTGTTGAAGCCATATTGTGTTGTCTTATCAGATGAATCATATTTACAGATAATTGAGCTTTTACAGATAATTTAACTTGTGTGTGAAGATTGCATGAAGCTCTGAATGTTGTACAAGCAGCTCATGATTCTATAATTGTTGGAGGCATTCTGCTGACCTTCAAGAGGACCTCTAGTGATACCAGTCTCTATTGTATTGACAGGAGTGACATACATAGATCTTATTGCACTCCTTTATACTCATCTTGTTTCCTCGTGGTGATGGTTCCTTCCAGCCAGCTAACATAATCCCCACCTCCCCTCATATTTGAGTGTGATATAAAACTGTTTCTAGAAGCACTTAGCTAATTTCCAGCTATTTCATTTGCATGATGTCAGTAAATTTCCTTTAGCTATATCTAACAGTTCTAGAATGCACATGGAGAGAAGTTTAAAGTTATTAGGTAAATGTCTTTAATTTTGGGGTCAATTCAGTTTATATACATGGTTTTAAATTTCTTAATTGAGCAAATTTAAATATACACTGAATTAGTGAATGTATGTTTATATTAATGTGACTCACTATTTTTCTGTGATAAAATTTTGGTTTTAACAGTTCTTTTTTCTTTTGAATTATGAAATGGTTTATAGAAAATGTATATTTCCTTACAGTAGAATGTTTGCTTTTCATTTGTTTGATATGTACAAATAAAACAATACCATTTCTTCCTTCATTATTTTTTTTAAATAACTTAATTCTGCTATGTTTTTCTTTCACCTTTGTTATTGATGTTTTAGTAAGGATGCATTGTTTTTCTCTTAAAAAGTGATAAGAAGAATTACTGAGTTTAAAGGCTGATTCATTGCATGCATGCATCTTGGTTATGTATGCATGAGTATATTCTTGACATCAACAGAATTTAGTATTTTTTTGTGTGTGTGTGTGTGTATATATATATATATATATATATATACACACAGCATTGCAAATGCCATATCTGATGACAGCTACATTTCAACTGTACATTGTTTCTACCTTATATGTTTGTGTTTTTTTGTTTTTTTTTGTCTGTGATTTTTGTTAATTGTTTTAGTAGTTGAGATCAATATGGCAGTGAGGTTTGCAATTTGTTCTAGTGCTAATCTATGCTGCCTCAATATTTTTTGCTTTGTCAAATTTGGCTCTTTCACAACTGTGGACAGATTTTCATTACTTTCTGGTAGGTTATTTTCTTTTTGTATTTTATATATTTTAAGTTGAATTTCAAATTATTGTACCCAGTTATTTTCTTATGATTAGTTTTAAGACAGGCTTCAAAATTTAATTAGCAGTAGATCTTCTACTGTTATTAAAGCTTTTTTGTCTGTGTGATCCTATTTAAAATGGACACAGTTATTGCTTGCTTTTGTCAACTCATCTACTCATCTACATCTCATATAATAGCATTGACATAATATTAATTCTTCATTTTTTTTGGATTAAGCATATTAAAAAAAAAAAAACAGCAGGAAAACTTTAAATTTTTATCTTGCAGTTACACGAATTAAATCCATTCATGTAGTTTGTTTAGAAGAGTAATAAAATTGATTAATGTTTTTAAATTTGGAAATATTTTTTTGTAGTTCGCAAATTGCTAATTTTCTTTTCGGTGTATTCTTGCTTTCCCTTTGAAAAAAATGGTAATTTTCAAAATTCATTTTGGTCATCCTTTTCCTTATATATATATATTTTTTTAAAACCTTTATGCATATGATTTGAATGACTTAGTAAAAACTGTCATTGGTACTAAATGAATACTATAAATTTAATAGTTATCTAAATTTCTTAAAAACTTAATGAGTTTGTGAGTTCTCATCTGAGATATGATACACATAACAAATGCTAAGATATTACTATTCTGCATTATATAATGGTTATATTTTATAGAAAATTATTGATTTCTTTAGATTTTCTTGTAAAATGCCAATAAGCATATTATATATTAAAAAAATCTTAAAACTATTTATAATCATCTGATGATGCATTCTTGTTTGAAAAAGCATTGCTGGTTGATGTAATTAATATCTTATGTTAGTAGCTTTTTACTCCCCTCCCTTGTAATACACTTATATACCTTTCATTTTATGCTCGTAATTTATATGCATTGCCTTGGAAAATGCTGTTATGTAGGAAATATAATATTTTGGAGGAAAAAAAGGGATAATTATTTTGTGTTCAGTGTGTTGGATAAATTCTTTGTTACTTTTATTTAAGGAAAAGTTATTTCTTTAGAAAAGTCTGAATTCCTTAACTAATTAAAATATCTTCATTAAGCATAAACATGAATGTGCTGTTTGTTGGAAAATTTACATGTTGATGATTCCCTTTTTACAATTTGTCTAACATTGGTACCTCCACGAGATCGCTAAAAAAAGAGCATAGCATGATGAAAAAGATGCCAAACTTGACGAAAACAAAATTTTATCGTCTAAATGTTTGTTATTATTGGGGTATTTTTTTAGAATTTTTAATAGTTCCTAGCACATCTGAAATTTTCGTTAAAAATCTTGTTTTTTTTTTTTTTTTTTTTTAGTCAGCAAAATTGACGATTTTTTTCCCATTTCATAAAAAAACTGGAAATCTCACTTTAAATATCAATTATCATTTTTTCAAAACTTATTTTAAGAAAATTAGAAATTATAATGTTTATTTAAAATATTTTGAACCAAGCTTAACTTAGCTTTGTTCTACAGAAGGAGAAAAGTGAAATAATTTACATTTAAGTGAACAAATTATTTACCTCGTTATTTTTTAAGGAAAACTTTCAGCGCTCTAATTTTTTTTTTTTTTTTTTTTTTTTTTTGTCATTATCTTTCACCTTTACATTTATGATGCTTTATGGAAAATAAAAAAATTAAAATAAGACTGTTAAGAGGGAGATTAAATTTCATATTTCATAAGAAAGGTATCTAATTAATTTATAGGTACCTTTCTTATGAAATTTTATCAGAAGTGTACATAAAATACTATAATTTTATGTACATTTATTACATTTTACTGTGTTTATTTGTATTTCCATTCATTTAATTATTAATTTTGATATTTCATTTATGGAAAAATGTCATAACTGAGATTAATATAAAAATAAGATCATATAAATTTCATAAGATGATACTGATACTTGTGGGTACCCTTCTCAGTTGAAATTGAAAAATCAAATTAACTGCTCCACACATGTTTCGCAAAAGTAAAGGCCTTAACAGTGGAGAACAATGCTTAACTCAAATAAGGCAACTTAATTGTATTCTGGTTGGTCTTCCATACTTTATAATTACAGCCCGATTATAAACACAAAATTACGTTTCTTAATTACTGCGGATCTTCTGATTAGTCAAAATGATACAATTTATAACGCGCTAAAAAAAGATCTATCTCATAAGGAGACTTAGGAAACCCAATGTGGCTTTTAACTAATTTTAAAATATTTTAACAACTTAAATGTAAAAATCTATTATAATTAAGAAATAACAAATAATTGTATTAAAAATTCATTTTTCATCGAAAAAATTTTTTGCTTTCAGAAAATATTGTCCATATTCATAAAAACAACTAAAAGCAAATAAAAGCATTTGAAATTAAATAATATCTTTGTCTTATTGAGTTTTGTATATTACAATTCAGAGCTGATTTTTCAGGTAGGGGGGGTCCAATTAAAAAAAAAAAAAACATGATTTGAATTCCTCAAAGCCTTGTAATCACTAAACCCGATGCCATCGAATTTCTAGTGTTTTCATAAAATTAGTTATAGGTGAGGGTAATAAATATAAAAGAAAATATTTATAATAATTTCGATCATCTGTGAATAGTTCCTGAAAGTTTCATTAACATCCGACAATTATTTTTATTTTTGCAAGATTTTCCAAATTAATGTGTGTCATACCAAAAAAACATGCTAAAAATTGTCTATGCTATTTTGCTAGTTCTGGTGATACAAAGAGAAATAAGGTTTTTTTAAACAAAATTTAGAATGTTCTAAAAAGAAGGAAAAATTTTAAAAAATAATTAAAAAAAACTTTGGTCTTTCCGCTTAATAATAACATAAGCATTTAGATGATGAAATTTTGTTTTTGGCAAGGTTGGCATCTTTTTCATCAAGCTATGCTCTTTTTTTAGCAATTTCGTGGAGGTACCTAGTCTAACAGAATTAGTGCTGATATATAAAGTAATCTCTTGATATGCACTGATTTTTTTTGATTTTTTTTTTTAAAGCATGTTAAAGATATGTGATTAATATTTGTATGTTAGCCTCTTAAATAATTTGTATAACTTTCAAAAACATTTCTTTTATCAAAAAAATAAAATAACTTCTAAGCAGAACTTTCCAAGAGAAAACTTGAAATATTTTATCTGCAGATGTTGCTCAGAAATGGGTGCTACCTGTTAAAACAACAACTTGTAGCATCCATGTTATCTTTAACATACTTCATTTGTATGTGGTTCTATATAATTATTCAATATGATTTGTCATGTCTAAAGGTTTTTTTTTAGAATAGGAAGAAACTCATTTTCATTATGTGAAATGGAGACAGTTAAAATTTGTAATTGTTTAATAAATTATAGTCTTTTATAAGTTCGTGAATAATAACAAAGTTATTAATCATGAACTTATAAATTGTTGTTTTGAATTTTTATAATTTTGCATCACATGTTGCAATTTTACAAAAAATCTCAGTGATGAAACTGGAAAATGACAACCTTCCAGCTGAAGAAAATGTGTTTTCATATTTTCTTTAAATAAAAAAACATTAAGATGTTATATAGAGATTAAGTTTGGTAGAAATCAATGCTACTGAATTTTATACCAAAAGTTTGGCTTGTTATTTCAGTACGGATGGACGTGAATATGCACTGAAGCAGATAGAAGGAACTGGAATTTCTATGTCTGCCTGCCGAGAGATTGCTGTAAGTGAATCCTGTGTTAGTTGGTATAAAATGTGTGTTCATTTGAATTAAATAATTTCTTTCAGTTATTATTGCATTTATATCTGTAAAATTGTCTTTATTTTAGAATATTGCTCAGTTGTTATTGAAGTTGCCATACTTCAAATAGTAATTCTATCATTTATTAGAGTTCATTAGGGGTGGACTTATAGAGACCAAATTAAAAAAAAAAAAAAAAAAAATGGGGAAGTGTTTTATTCCATTCATTTGTGTCCAAATAGAAGGAAATAGGCCAACTTTTTGAAAATTGGGATGGAGCCAGACCAAAATGCGCACAGACATGGCTGAGGCCCCCCAAAAATCACTAATCACTCTAACCTTCTGTCCTGGAGTAACAAGGTGCCTCACATTTTTCACATACGATTTCATTTTCAAATCTTTTTATTTTTTTCACTGCTCTTTGGAGTGTCATAGATGAAACTCCTCTCTCACGTGTCAAATGTCTTATGAATTGAATTGGATCTTTTCTAATTGATCTCTTTAGCTCTTAAGTTGAAATGATGATCCTGTTGTGACCTCTTGATTCAGTTTTCCTCTTTACTGTTGCCTCTTTTTAAAACTTATTCGCTGTTCTCTTGATAGTTCCTGAATGAACTTTGAAGATGGAAGCTTGAGTATGATTGTTGGTACCATTACTGACGGTCTGAATGATCTTTTTCCTCTCACCATTTCTCATTTAGAAAGCAATTTTCACATGTTTCCTTTCTAGCTGAATAACTTAAAGGATTTTTAGTGATTCTTAAAACAAATGGTGTCAAGATGGCTAAACATCTGGAATTATGTTGTTACACAATTTGGACAATTTTGCTGTTACACCCTTTGTGTGTGTGTGTGTGTATACTAGCAGCATTGCCTGGGTTTATTCAAAAAAGGATCACGAACCTCATCCAATCTGTAAAGTCAAAATAAAGAAGATTTTTCTTTAGTGCCTCTTATCTATATGGTGAAAAATTATAATGATATGAAGTGTGAAAACATTTATAACAGGAGAAAGTTGTTTTTTACAGAAGCACTGAAGATACAAAAAAAATTGTCAGCAAATGAGTACATTAATCGCAATTGATCTTTGAAAATTGTTGAGGAGAAATGATTTGTTGACAGCTTTTGCTCAAACTACATCGAATGAACAACATGCATTGGAAGGAGAAGGAATTCAACAAAGACTTCTCCTAGCAGCTGTGCCAAGGCTGAAAACCAACGTTCTCAAAGACTGTGTAGAATTGTTTTTTGCCCCTCAGTTTCGACAGCTTGAGTAGCAGAAGTTCTGGCAGCATTCCTTCCTCGTCTAGTTAACCATTGCTCATTAGTTTCTGCTGAAAATAGCATTTTGTGTCAGTTTAATTTGAGTTTCTTGTTATGAAACGTTTCTTCTCCATGCTTTCATGCACGATCAATCTCACACATGCGTCTTATACCTACGTGCACTTCTCTCACCGGTGCACACTTTCGTTTGCACTTATTCTTTTTTTCTTAAGGAAGGATATAATTTTTGCCGTCAAGTTAATGCAAACTAAACTGTTTCAGTACCAAAATGGGAAATCCATGGAAAAAACTGATATTTTTCATAATGTATTTATGACACATGAGGTGTCAGTTTTGATTTTGAGTTGATTGATCTAAACACAAATTGTGCAAATTTTCATCAGAATGCTGCTAACCACTACAATTGAAAGACTAATGGAGCAGCAAGGTGTTCATGGGTCATCTTGGGGGCCCCTTATGTAGTTTTCAAAATCTGATAATCATTTCTGATTCATTTTAAGATTGTAGCCTACATGTAAAATTCCGTTGAAATTGAAGCAATTTGAAAATTTGGGATCCCTTTGGTTCAACCTAGGGGTCCCAAATTTCAAGCCAAAGGACAGGTTTAAGAGTAATTGAAATAATAAAGCACATCTTTTTTAAGTTTTCTATTTAATTGACTTTATGGCCAAGGCTGTAGACTTAATTGAAAATTTCAGGGTTCCCTGCTGTTCCCCTAACTCGTGGGGGTCCCAGTGTTTGTTTTCAGTGAATTCCAAGTGACTACTTCAGTTACTCGATATAATCTCAATATGTACTGACATTTTTGTTGAAATTGGGGAATACTACTACAAAATACATTTGAAAAGCAGTTGAGGCATCAAGGGGTTTATAGGGTCATCCTGGGGGACCCCTCATGCATTTAAAAAAAATCTGACAACCGATTTCTATCTCATCAAACATGCAAAATTTCATCAAAATCGAATTTTGAATTTTTTATGGTCCCTTTGGGGCACCCTGGGGGTCCCAGTGTTGAGAGAAACGCAAATCAATATAGCGTATAATAAGCGTGACAGTAAGTTGCATACACTTATCAAGTTTCATTAAAATCAGCCTTAGGGTTTAGACTTGAAGTGTGAAAGTTTAAAAACAACCAAACTAATGGAAATTCCCATTTAAACATTATATTTATCGATTATCGGTTATTGATTTTTGAAAAATGACTAATTTTTTGCCCAGACACACCCAGTATTGAGTACAATCTATGTTCCAAATTTGGCGGAAATATGCCTTATGGTTCTCGAGTAGTTCGCGAACACACACACACACACACACACACACACACAGTTATATATATATATATATATATATATATATATATATGCAAAAATTTCATCTTCATGTCTTTTTTTTTTTATTATTGCATCTAAGCAACATGTATAATATCAGTTGCCCTATATTAGGCATGCAGTATATTACTTGAAAATGTTCACTAGCCTTTTCTTTTTTTAAATTCCCCAACTACATCTTTGTTGAGCAGAAAGATCCATGTGGTGCTAAAATTTCCAGAAGTTCAACTTATGCATCTGATATAATCTCTGACTTTTTCAATCATCTTGACCTTATGGGGTTAGATGCTTGCAAAACCAAATCAAAACCCGTTTCATTAAGCAAAAAACTCTTATATGTCATCTTTGTTATGTTATTAGTATCAGATTATACTGAAAAGAAGTCTTTTATTTGTATACAAATCATATAAAACAGTTTTTCTTTTTATCTCAGTTTTATGTTAACTTATGAAAATGATTCTACGGCTTACTGTTTTGAGGCAGGTATATTCTTTCTGTCATGTGGCCTTTCCATATTTTTATTAATTGTATTTTGGTAATACATTATAATGCAAGAATGAGTTATGTACCAAACTGTACTTTGTCTTTTATAACTCAATGTCAAAAACAAAAACTTCAACTGTATGGTCTCACCTATTTTAAAAATCAATTTCTTTTCATGTGAAAACTGATTAAACTAATAAAAACTAATTTTGTTTAAATGTACGTTTTTTTATTACCTGTTAATGTGCTGTTATGTTCATATTTTGTGCGTTATAATTCATTTTTTTTCTTTACAGCTTTTAAGAGAACTTCGTCACAAAAATGTAATTAGTCTACAAAAAGTATTCCTTTCACACACAGATAGAAAAGTTTGGTTATTATTTGATTATGCAGAACATGATTTATGGGTAAGAAATAAATACTTCATTATTTTTTATATTTTATGATAGAAATCCTTGTAAATGTGAGAAACTACAGTAGTCCGCCGCAGTTAGGTGAACTAGTTTACTGCAGTACCTGGTATACTGCTGGTGGGTGGTGGACCCCAAGATTTTGCTCTTGTATTCTCAATATTGCTCACTTTTTTAGAAATTCCACCCTATTTTACTAATTTCTGGGCCATTTTCTTCATGATAGAACAAACAGCGATCATCAGATGGGTCCTAATTTCTTTTAATAATTACACCCCTTTTGCACATGTTTTACCTTGATTCTGATGGTCAAACAGCCTAAATTTTGTGAAATTTTAACACCTCAGCCGTTTCACACCTAATCCAATTGTATTGGTAATAATTACACGATTACTTTATATTTCTATTTCATGCATGATCAAAGAGTTCCTATAATATCAGACTAATTAACAGGAATTCAATCACTGAAATCAGATACCATGGATGGTGTAATTTTTTCTGGTTGATCATACTCAATTTGACTGTTCAGCAGTAAACATCAAGAATCAAATGTGATATTTGTGGAAATAAATTTAATTTTTTATACTTCATGCTTTATGTGTTAGTTTTTTCCTTTTACATTGCCAGACAACTTTTCAAACTAGACCATAATGCATTGCATGAGGAAGTACTTTTAAGGACAGTTAAAATATATTGTATAAAAAATCTGCTGTAAAACACTGAAATAAGTTGAAATTTAAGGTAATTTGATTTTTAAGCCCCGCACTAAGTAAAAAAAAAAAAAATCACAAATAATTATATTTACGTGTAAATTTACATGCTTAATTAAAAAATATCAAAGAAATTTTGATAAACTCTGCCTTTTTGTAGTTATTGACAATAAAAGTTTGGACTCATTTGTATCACAACCACCATTACTGGCGTTGTTTGCATATATTTGCTGCAAAATAGACATTCGCTTGTCTCAATTATTGTGCATGCATTGATGCAGACCGCCAATAATGTCTGCTGTAGCCAACAACGACACAAATGAGTCTGAACTTTTATTGTTGATAACTCCAAAACAGTAGATTTTATAAAAATTTCTTTATTTTCAAATTAGGCATGTAAATTTAGAATAAAAAATAATTCAGGAAATTTTTTATTAGATACTTAGCATGGGGCTTAAAAAGCAAATTACCTGAAATTTCTCATGGAATCATTAGTATAAATCTTTGAGGTTCTTTTTGAGCCATTATCTATGCTATATATTGTGAAATAGGGCCCAAAAATCAGGTAGGTGTTCAACCTCCTATTATCACCCACACACCTCAGCTACTGTGATCCACTTGCATGTCGGCCATCATAACAGTGGACTACTGTATGTTCTAAAATTTAACCTAAAAATGTCTTTCTCAAAATTATAAATTAAACGATGCAAAGTTATTTTAATTGAATATGTTTCTGTCTGTAAAATCTAATGTTTCTGTAATCAACCTTTCTGATTTTATTTTGCTTTAATTGTAATGTTAATCCATTTCCACATTTAAAAATTTTCTCTTCCTTGTAATTTAAAAGGACTGTTTTGATTATACTAGAGTAATCTCCCTTATCTTAAAATTTGTGACTTTTTTTTTTTTCTTTTAGCATATAATCAAGTTTCATAGGTCATCCAAAGTTAACAAAAAACAGATAAGCTTTCCCAAAAACATGGTCAAGTCTCTTCTGTTTCAAATATTGGATGGTATACATTATTTACATACTAATTGGGTACTTCATAGAGATTTGGTAAGTAACATTTTGAAATATATAACTTCTTTTTTTTATCATAATGAATACTTATTAAAAACCTTACTCTTTATTTTCTTATTCATATGTAAAATAATTTTGAACTTTTGGATAATTAAAGATTATATTAGATTTTTAATTACTTTTTATTTCAGAAAAACTTTCAGTACATGGTAAAGAAATTATCACTTGTGCAAGAGTGTTCATATTTTGATTATTTTGTGATGAAAATATAGACAGCACATATTTACATAAAGTACTTCACTTTAAGTTCAAAAGTAAAATATCTGGATTTAGATTATAAAACTAATATACTATATAAACTTTACTTGGAGGGAAAATGTATGACAAAGTGAAAAAAGTGTGTGTGATGCATTTCATCCTTTAGTACTTTATTGAACTAAATTTGTTACATTGGTGCACATGAACAAGGGATGCTGAGAATTTTAATCTTTACTCAGTATCAGTGATGAAATATAAAAACAACTTCATTAACTGTACTTTAACTTTTCTTAATGATCATATTCAAAAAGTCAAAGTAGATTGCTTATTAACAACTTTAAAATATTGATTCATTTATAAATTCCTATTTTTTTTTTTTTTTTTTTTTTTTTTTTTAGGATATATATTTTTTTTACTTAGTTTTTTTAAACAGTGTTTATTTCATCTACTGGTGTGTATATATATATATATATAAAAGGCTGTTATTGCTGATTTTTTTTTTTTTTAGAAAACTGGTTATATTGTTAATTATTCAGCTAAAAATTAGTTTTTCACTACATTATTATACATATATTGAAAACTTTTTCTATATGAATTCAAGTTGGGTCATGCTGCAAAAAATATAAATTCAGTATTTGGAGTCAGTTACTATTACTTAAAGGAATAATTAGATTTTGGTTCAAAAAATTTCAATTAAGTAAACAATGAAAAAGTTCAGTTAAAACTTTAATCAGCTAGATCTGAAGGTTGTTGCAGAAAATAATCCTAAAAACTCAGAACTCACATCAAACTAGATTAGAATCTTTCTTGGTCTTATAAGCACAACTGACAAAAAAAGTTATATAGATTCTATGTAAATGGAATGAGGAGCCAAAACATACAGATTAATCCTTTTCACTTGTATGGAATTGATCTGGTTTTTCATCCTATCATTGGTAATATAAAAAATAGACTATGTAATAATTGTGAAGATCTTTTCTGTTTATTTACTAAAATTATCTTATGCTTGGAAGTGATTTAATACATTGTAGCTTCTTTCAAAATGGCTAAACAGTGTGTGCATATATTGAAACAAGCTTGCAAGAGTGTATTCAGAACTACTTTAACATCTAGTTTAGTGAATAAAGAATATTATTTTGTTACGTGAAAAAAAATTTCCACATGTTTTAAAAACATTATTAAAGTTGAATCATTTGAAGATGAAAACTTTATTGTACTCTGCCTTTTCACCCAAATTTCTTCTATGGATCACCCTTTTTTTTTTTTTTTTTTTTTTTTAAGTTATCTAGACCATTTCCTTACAAACAAGAACTTCTCAATTCAATTCTTTGATATATTCTCTACTTGGGAATTGACAATTTGCTGCCAAAGAAGAATAAATGTAATGTTAAGTGGGAATAATTTGTTCTGTAAAATGTTTATTTATTTTGAACATCTTCCATAGTAGGTACCCCAAGTGTCAAAATAGTGAAATTTCCTTCAATTTCAACTCTTGATTTCTTATTTATTTATGAGGCTATTTTGAAAAAATTAGTATGTAAACAAAATTTTTTTTTTCTCTTTATAAGGATGCAATTCTTTCTTGTATGTGATGATTAGTTTTTATTCTACTTCTATTTAAATTATGTCTCTATTTCAACAATGATCACTTGTTTTCTGCATTTTAAATTTTGACAATTTCATAGTGGTGTTTTGTAAGAATTATGCTTTGAGTTGTATTTCCCTATATATATCAAAATAGTCCCATCTGAAAGAAAAAAAGGAGACCCATCAACTTAGTATGCTTAAGATAATGTTTTCACAAAAACATTCATAAGTTGAAAACCTTAGTGGATAGCATAGAAATTCAGCACTTTAAAAAAATGAGAATTACACTCATCTTGTAGCGCAAAATGTTATATTTAATGAACAGTTGGTTTCATATATCTGCACCCAGACAACTCAAAGTGTGCACAAATCAAAAAGAGGGTATGCTGCATTCCTTTCATGCAAAACTGTAAGGTCAAATGCATTGAAATTCTTATTGCTGAGTGAGTGAATGAACATTGCCAGCTGAATTTCATTTTAAATCTGACATGTATTTTAAGACTGTATAAAGTAATTTTAGTTTAGGATATCTATTTATAGAAAAATGTTTTTACAATACTAAATTCTTGTTTTCAGAAACCAGCCAATATACTTGTAATGGGAGAAGGTTCTGAAAGAGGAAGAGTAAAAATAGGTGTGTGTTGAATTTCAAATATATTTCTGTGCTTGTAATTTAAATCTAAGACTCTCATTGAATTTGAGAATATCATTTTAATTTTCTAACCAAGCAATATTATTATTATTAAAGCTAAAAATCAGTAATGAAAATAGAACTGATTTTTGAAATGTAAACAATTTGTACTCTGTATAATACCTAATATAATTAATATAGCTTATTTTTTGTTATTGGTTTGCCAATCTCTTTAAAAAAAAAAGTAAAGTCTAATGAGGTCACTATAGTTTAAACTTCTGTACAATATATGTTTCTAAGATCAAGTTGGGTTTTTGTATCTTTCATAAGCATTTTAAAACTGCCTTTTTTGTTCACTATGTAAATTGAAAAATATACATTCACTTACTGAAATGATAGCACATTTCCTTTTAATTCTTCTTTGTTTTTCTGTTTTGATTTCTAAGCACCTGTTTTATGCACTTTGATTCACTTTTTATGCAAAAATACGAACAATAAGCTTACGCTATACTAAAAAGTATTTTATTTAGATATATGAATCTAGTTTTAATAGCTTTATTACACAAAATCACCTATCCAGGAATAAAATGCAGTGTGTGTGTGTGTATATGTGTGTGTGGGAGAGGTTGAGATATGCTTTGTAATTTTTAAAGGCTCTAAAATCAATTGTATTATTTGTGTACACATTTATTTTTTCATTTGAATTTTCAATCCAATAGATAAATCCCTGTTTTCATCATATTGTTGTCTATAATGATAAAATTATAATACAGACTTTAATTAAAGCAGATGTAATGGTAAGAGTCAGAATCAAAGCAAGTCAGTAAAAATATTTTTCTTTGCATATAATGATTTCTGTCTTTGTATAAGTCATTTTTTACTTCTATTCTAAGAGGCCAATGTTTGTAAAATAAATTATTCTCAGCACAAACATTGACTTTCTAAATTTTTTATGGTTAAAAATAGAATCAGTTTTAAAATGAGAACAAAAATCTTATGTTTTATTTGTACTATTATTGGCTGTTATGAAAGAAAAGCTAGATTTTTGGTAGTTAGTATATTATTGTTTTGTGAAGTGAGGTTTATTTCTTACAATTTTTATAACTACTTAATAATGTTGGTTTTTGGTGCAATCTATAAAACTTATTTTGTGATTTTTTAAATTTTTTTTTAATAAACTAGCTAAATAAAATTATTGATTCCATACATATTCTAAAAGCAATTCTATCGAGTAATTAAATCTATGCTAATGACTGCATTTTTATCTATTTTCTGTTTAAATTTTTAAAGAATTTCTTTTTTCTACAGCTGACATGGGTTTTGCTCGGTTGTTCAATAACCCATTAAAGCCTCTTGCAGACCTTGATCCTGTGGTTGTGACATTTTGGTATAGGGCACCAGAATTACTTTTAGGAGCTAGACATTACACAAAAGCAATTGGTATTTATTACACTTTGCTTTTTCTTTACTATAATTCTTGATTTTTATATTTGAAGTACTGAACATATGTACACATTCATGTGCAATTTAAGTTAATATTTTGCAAATATATATATATATATATATATATATATATATATATGTGTGTGTGAGAGAGACTTGTGATTGTTATGGTTATATATACTGTAAATTTAGTAGACTGCCATTTTATTTTCAGATATTTGGGCTATTGGGTGTATTTTTGCTGAACTATTAACATCGGAACCAATATTTCACTGCCGCCAGGAGGATATCAAAACCAGCAATCCATATCATCAAGATCAGCTTGATAGGATTTTCAATGTTATGGGTTTTCCCCAAGGTAATAAATATTGAATAATTTAAGGTTTTTATTGGGATTTTAACATAATGATTATTATAATTTTGTTTGTAGCAAGAATTGATCACCAAAGATAAGCAGTGTTGAGCCTAGTCACTACTTAAACACCCAGGGTACTTTAAGTGACCTCCCACACTCTGAAATATTTCCACTTTAAATGTCCCATAAACAGTTGATAAGCTGTAAAAAAAAAAAAAAAAAAAAAAAAAAAAAAATTGTCTTTTATTTAATATTAAAGTTTGTCCATTCATCTATTGAGATGGAAGTGATTCATTAGAGCAATGAGCATTCATTTCATTTTTTTTTTAAATCTTGTATGTTGGTAAAAATATTTACATTATTTTTAATACCTTTGTTTATATATTTATTTTTTCTCACTGTATATTTGATTATTAAGGAATTTAATCAGTAATTTCTTTTTCATAATATCGTAGTTCATTCTGTTTTCATAAAACATTTTTATAATTGTTTTCATTGTTTAAAGGAACTTATTTTGTTCTTTTCTTAGAAAAAGATTGGGAAGACATAAAGAAAATGCCAGAACATCCAACTCTAATGAAAGATTTTAAGCGATCAAAGTAATATTAATTTATTGCTAAATTATTTCCTTTTGTTTTACAATCTTTGAGATGATAGATTTCAACAAAACTTTGTAATATAAATGTATTCTGCATGTTTCTCAAAAAAGAAATTTAATCTTAAAATGCATAAAAAGATAACTTTTCAGTTTAATTGATTTATAAATGAAGAAAAATATTATTTTTTTTGAGTTCTAATAATTCAATTATTGTACTTAAACTATAAGAATTAATTTAACTGATTTTATTTATGCTCTGAAAGATTTAATTTAAACTTTCATTTATGTGCAATGCAATCTTCTATATTGTTGGTTAATTTGTACTGAGCTTTACATCTTAAAGCTATGAAAAATATGTAAATATGGTTAATTTTCTGTCAGATTTAATTTTAGTGATTAACAGTATTTGAGTATCTACTTGTTTCTTATAAATGCAAATTGTTTGCTTTTCTGTCTGATTTTGTGGCCAAAATTTTATTCATTCTTATATACTTTAATAAGCCACATTATATTTTGTAACCATGAAGAAAGAGTGGCTTTTTTTTTTTTTCTGAAAATTTCGAATTCTTCATAATTTTTTATTCATTGAATTTAAATAACTGAAAAGATTAATAGCTAATTATTAGTTTGTCACTTTCAGTTATGTCAACTGTAACTTGATCAAGTACATGGAAAAACATAAAATCAAACCTGACAGTAAAGCTTTTCTATTGGTAAGTATTTTTCTAGAAAGCTTTTACATACCATTTTAGTTGTTATGAAAATTATTTTTTTTTGCTTTTAACAAGTTATAAATTTACGAATCTGAAATATTACTGTTTCTAAAGGTATAAAAAATTCTTTAGGCTATGTTTTTTATAATTCAAATTGAACAATTTTGCTTATAATTTATAAAACATTAGCAAAATACATCTGTATTGCTACATATTTTTTAACTATTAAAATAAATCCAGTTTAAAGGATTAACATATTTGTTATGTATGATATTAAAATCTCTTGTTTTATGCAAAAATCTTGATGCAGTTACAAAAGCTGCTTACAATGGATCCTACCAAACGGATTACATCAGAACAGGCTATGAAAGATTTATACTTTTTAGAAGATCCATTACCTTCACAAGAGTAAGTATCAGTTGATGTTGCCTTTGATATTTTAATTTTTCTATGACAGTTTACTTTAATTTTGTTTGTTCATCATTTTCTTTTTATGGCTTGTATGCCTGTTCTGTGCATCTTAATTTTTTATGTAATCTGAATTTCCATATTGCAGTTGTTATTAAGAAGCAGCTTAAGCTTTTAAAACCATAATAGCAGCATTTTACACTGAGTAAAATTTTACTCATTTGTAACTGATAATAATAGAATACAGAGAGCACATATCAGTTGCCTGAAATAAATATTCTTCTGCAATGAAATATCCAAATTTTATTGATGTGTTTTCATATATATATATAACACATTAAAATATAGTAGAACCGTTCTTCTGGAAATATTCTATTTCTGTTTGCAGTGTATTTGAAGGTATGCCAATTCCTTACCCTAAACGGGAATTTCTTACTGGAGATGACAATGATGATAAGGCAGATACAGGAGCTAGTAAGGTTGGTGACAAAGTAAGTTTGTTCCTCCACCCCTCCAAATTACAAAATGGTACTACTTTTTCCTTTTCTTTACTCTATTTTGTTAGTTATTTAATAAAGTAACCATTTGCAAGACTTTTTTAAATTAGGTCTTAACTGATCTTTTATTTGCCATGTTTCTGCTGTACATTTTAATGTTTATGTTATCTTACAGTAGTGTTTAGCTTTTATTGATTAATGTTAATATTTTCACTATAATATTACTGAATTCATCTTTGGCTCGAAACTGCATGTTGGATTTGACATACTCAGAATAGATTTTAATTAGGAGACTTGAACTAAATCAGGTAAATTTTTATCTGCATAAAGTTTGTTCATTTGGGAAAGTTTACAAATGATAATGCACCTACTGTCAGACTGATAATCACATTTGAAAGTTGTCAGAATTGATCACCATCTGGCTTTTCTGTCCTGAAGTAAATATTTTAACCCTGTATCTAGGAAAATTTTACTGAAAAATATACTACCTTTCCATATAAAAATCTTGTTCTGCTTCATATACTTCATTATGTAGATAGTTAAAGTATTAAGGAATCAGGAACTCTATTTTTAGAGTTTTTTTAATTTATAACAGAAATCTTAATGCATTTATGTTACACTTAGTAAGACATCTATTCAGGTGTTAGAAAATTTTGTATACAGTGAACCAATAATGATTA